TGGCAGACGCTCGCCTCGTAGCGGCTTGGCACGCTGCCCAAAGAGCATACATATAAACTCTGTGCAAAAGCATGGGAAGGGCCAAGGGTTTTTGTACGGGCAGTGCAGGAAATTCTCACCGCAGCGGCGCTTGAGCCGTAAGATATATAAAGGACAGCGTCTTCCAGGACCGATTCCCGGGGCAGCACGGGGCTCTCGGGAGAGCAGCCCGCCCCGGCGCAGCACCCGAGGCGACTCACGTGCCGGGTCCCTCCTCGCTACGGCTCGTCGAGAGCAAGCGAGCAGCTCCACGAACGGTCCTTGCACTCTCTTAAGGAAGCTGGAAAGAAGTCTGGGCCCTGCTGCCGCCGCCTGGAACCTGCAGCTGAACTAGAAGGTGTCAGAGCGAGCCGCACGGCATGGAAGTCAATCCGCACGCGTGTACCTGCGCTGGCTGTAACAGCGGGCTCAGCTCTGCACGAGGGCGCTGCGGAAGAGCTGCTGATCGGGACAGATTTAAGCCAAGCCACCCACCCCGTGACTGGCAACGATGCAACCAACAGCTCAACCGAAACGCACCGCGGCGTTCTCCGCAACCCAAGCAGATCTCACGGTGGTCTGTACTTTCTGTACCACCACCAAGAAAGATCTGCATTTCCCTAGCTTTACTCCTTCCACATACTTCTATTACAACTGCTCCCTCTGGAAAAAAAAAAAATGGAAAAATTATCATTCACACTTCTACCACACTGCACCGTTATTGAATATACATGCTCGTGTTGTCATGTTCTTGGGGAAGAGGAGACACCAGAGGTAGGGGACGTTATTTTTACAATGCAAAGCACCAGGCGGCGAGCCGAAGGGAGAGGTTACCCAGGCAGCCCCACGCGGAACGGATCTGACCCCCTGCAGCGGGGTGAGAAGGGCCCAGCCGGGAGGGAAACAACTCGCACGCCTCGCGTGGGATAACTGGAGCGGGAGGCTACAAACGATCCCCTCCCCTTAAAACCAGCAGAGACAGAAGCAAGCATCCAATTCGTCAGTCTGTGAGGCCAGAGCCACCCGTTGGCCTCCAGTTAGCTGAAAGAAGGTGCTGCCTATCACCGTCTTGTCTTTCAATGTCAGCATGCAGAACTTCACGGGACGCAGAACACTTCAGAAAAACAGCAAACAGCAAGCCACACCTTTGTGAACGCAAACAGACCCATCGGTTCTTGTTGGGCCAGTCTGCAATTCAGTTCTACGAGAAGACCGGTGTTAAAGGCAAACAAAAACTGTTAAAACCTGCGCTGGCAGCTGAACGTCGCGTTACCTTGAAGGTAACGCCTGGCCCCGCAAAGCTGGAGGCTGCAACGCTTCCTCGCAGATCGCAAAGCCTGACCTGAACCCTTGCCGCGCAAACCAGGAGCCAAACCACGGTGGTGCAAGAAACCGCGCGTGGGAAGCCCCAGCAGCAGCACCAGCTGCAGAATGGTCACTGTGAAATTACGGGAAGGTCCATCAACCACAGCTTGTCCCCATACTCGAAATTCAGGTGTCTGCTGCAGGTATTTTACACAGCCCTGTCCATCTCCAGACCGAATCACCTGATTTTTGACTGTACGCTGCCTGGTTTTAAGAAAGGGATAAGCCATGAAAAAGGCCACTAATTCCTTAGTGTGGCCATTCATCCACTGCAAGGAGATGCTGCTAAACTCTTGACTAACCCCACTTGATGGCTACTCAACTAAAGAGTTTTGTCACTGAACAGGTGCTTAATTTTGATGAAAGATTTGCAGCTGGAACACGTGCTCGTCCAGTAGCACACACAAAATCCCTATTTTGGCTTCTCATCCACCTGGAGACACTTGAAGGGCATGGTTCAGTTTTGTACACAGCTACTGTGCTGCCTTTCCCTTCTTCCCTCCGCAATTCCACAGCTTCGTGATGCCACCAGCATCTCGGGCACTTCATTGCAAAGCTTTGTACGTGCCAAAACCATAAAAGAAATGCCTGCAAGACAGACGCGTGGAGAACCAGGCACATGGCAACTCCCTGAACAGTGCCAGCGGCAGCAGATCCAAACCACACGAACAGCAGCACCAGCTGAATGAGAAGACAGCAAAAGTTGCCTTTGTATCCCCAAGAAATCTATTTCATTTTCACTAAAAGTAGCCAAGAGACAAGGCCTTATGATTGTGCAATATCTTTCTTACAAGATTTATTTTTTTCTTATTCTAATTATAAAACAATTCATCATCCAGTTCAGTCCTTGTGGCTAAACTGCTTACCTACAAACATTTTTTAACTTACGTTCCTCTAAAAGCCACCATAGGGCTAAGAAGATAAAACATAACGGATCTCTTTTTTTGAATCCTGAATTCAATTGTTTTGAAACAACAGTTATCTTCATAAAATCGGTTAAGTCACTCACTGGTCTAGTTATGATTTATGACAAGCCATTAGACCGTCTGAAATTTTGACACTGAGGTCAGTAGGGCAGCAAACCAGCAGCACTGTAATAAATGTGGGGGATATGAAGAGGGGCTAATTACCAGAAAATATCCAGTATTCAGCGTGGCGATAGCAGTTTATCGCTCTGACTTTGTGTTTCACACTGCAAGACCTATTGTATACGTTCGTTGATCAGTAAGTCTGCTGTGGACACAAAGGCTCGTTTCTTTCTCCATAATATTTTTATTTTTAATTATCATCTAATAATGAGCTCATGGCTTTTCCAGACTCTCAATATCAGAAATTCTTCTACTCAAACACGCTTTCAAGGTTATGACCCACGTTCCTCTTGGTGTTACTTCTGTAACGAGACTAACGGTGCAGGACATTAAGCCACATCTCATGTTTTGTTCTTGGGCAAGTTGAAACGAGGCAGGCAGACCAAAACAAAGCAGGCTTTAAGCTACACTGAAGTCAGCAGGGCTGGATACTTATGTGCAGCATCCAGACATCTGCCAGGAAGCAAGCTGCTATCCTCTAATGCTGCGAACACTCTGGGTCAACAGGCAGGCAAGCGCACGACCCACGGCAGGTTGGGCCCGGCCCCAAGCAGTTGGTCGAAACGTCTACCTACTGTTAAATATTCTTTAGGATCATCAAAACCTGAACACCAAATCGCAGTCACTCCAACCATCTGTAAAACACAGCAGTCTTTTTTTATCCCAACCTCTAACACTTTTTAAAGGTCATTTATTAACAAAAAAATAGCACGATGGTATCACAGTCACAGAATGGTCGGGGTTGGCAGGGAGACCTCTCTGGGTCACCCAGTCCAACCCCCCTGCTGAAGCAGGGTCACCTACAGCAGGCTGCACAGGACCGCGTCCAGGCGGGTCTTGAATAT